GCCAGCCGGGGGTGGGTTTGAGGAGAGACGAGCCGTACTTGCCGCCGAGGGCCGGCCCCGGTCCGCCGTCGCCTGACGGGCAAGGAGAGGAACGCTGGCGGTCTCTCCACGGGAGACCGGGGGTCAGGCGGGGCTCAGCTCGCCGCCGCGCTTCCCCCGCCCCGAGGAGAACTGGCATGTGCTCTTACCTAGAAAGGTTGGACTAGATGATCCTTGAGGTCCCTTCCAACCTAGGATTCTGGCATTCTATGTGTGCTTTCGATTCAGCTGTGGGAACTGGGCTTGTGTGGCCTGGAGACTGGAGGCTAAGGGGGAGACCTTGTTGCCCTCTACAACTACCTAATGGGAGGCTGTAGCCAGGTGGGTCTTGGTCTCTTCCCCCAAGCGGTAAGCGATAGGATGAGAGGAAAAGGCCTCAAGTTGTGCCAGGGGAGGCTTAGATTGGATGTTAGGAAAAATTTCTTCACTGAAAGGGTTACTAGGCACTGGAACGGGCTGCCCAGGGAAGTGGTTGAGCCCCCATCCCTGCAGGTATTTAAAAGATGTGTAGATGTGGTGCTTAGGGACATGGTTTAGTGGTGGAGTTGGCATTGCTGGGTTAATGGTTTGACTTGATGATCTTAAAGGTCTTTTCCAACCTAAACGATTCTATGATTCTATTCTATGATTCACAGCCACGAAAGACGAGGCAAAAAAGCACCGTTACCGGCAGAAAATATCCGAGTACATGACCAGAGCTGAAGACATTAAAAAACACATTGAAAAAGAGAAACAAGGTACAGAGCTGTGAGGTACCCGTTCACACTTAAATACCTGTTGTTATGTGAACGTTTTATAGGTGAGATGGGTAACGGGAATTATGTCATGATCTTTACTGAAAAAGAGACTTCTTTTCTTTTCAGATGGCAAATACCATAAGCAAATCAGGATAGAGGAAAATGCAACAGGTTTCAGCTACGAAAAGCTTTTCCGAGAGTACCTTACTGAGATTGTTTCTGAAGTTTGGGTGGAGGACCCATACATTAGGCATGTTCATCAGGCAAGTAGATATTCAGTGTAACTGATACAGATGTAACTACTAAAAAATTCCAAGTTACTAAATTAAATAAAACTTTTACAGTTGTATAACTTCCTACGATTCTGCGAGATGCTAGTTAAGGGGCCGTGCAAAGTGAAAACAATCCACCTCCTCACTTCCTGGGATGAAGTAAGTGTCTAGGTTTTGATTTCTGTTTCCCTGTACACGGGTGATACCACATGCAAGTATATACATATATATGTGTGTGTGTGTGTATATATATATAAACATTTATTTTTAAATAGAGATTCATTCTTATTTACCAGTACTTGTTAGACTGATGCTCTGATGCCTTCAGCAGAAAACACAGATTAAGGCAAAAATAAAAATATGATAGTTGAACATAAGTAATTTTGTAAGTTCACAGTTTGTGATAACTCTAACAAATTCTCGGTAAGCAGGATCTTAAATGGAAAAGATGTTTTGGTGAAAATTTCGTTGTGGAAAATGTCATCAAAACCAAAACATCTATTGAGACATGTTTTTTTTTTTCTCTTACAACAAGTTATATATACTTGTCATTTTAGAAGCTTTGATGAGATAAAACCTCTTAAACTATCACCGCATTTATTTTGGCTCAAATAGTAGTTCATATCTAGTTTCAAAGGGCTGAGAACGAGCTCCTCCTCCTCACCCCTTAGAAGCTTACCTGTAATCTGTCTGCTTTTCATCCTGTCTTTCAAACTGCAAATCTGCCTTCATCCAAGTTACTTTCTTTTGTTTTAAGTTATTACTAAAAAGGTTTTGCTGGTGAGTTTAGGAAGAGGTGACCAGAGGTGGAATACATAGTTAAAAAAAAAAAACCACAAAAAACCAAACACCACATTATTTTTACTTTTAACAGGGTAGTGGGAGGAGTCAGCAGATAAGTGGCTTGGAAGAAATACAACAATCGTTGAAGAATTATGGAGTAACACTGGATATTGCATATTCGTCTTCGATACATGATCGAGAAATTAGGTGGGTGATAGAAAAAAATCAGTGAATGCCAGTTATTTGAAGTCAAACTACTTAACCCTAACTTCTGAGACAATTTCTAATTACAGGTGTGGTTGACAAAATGGAAGGCGTGGGTCTAACTGGATAAAATCAGCCCGCCTTAGTTTCATGTGTTCCAGCTGTGAACATAATAGTAGATGTCTCTTTATACAGAACAATGTCTTCCATGGTTCGTACAGGCATCGGCGACACTAGGAAATAACTGTGATTGAGACAAGCAGCTTGTGCATTGTGTGGATATAACCCATTTTTTTATTCAACATACTCATGGTTTTCAAATTTGTGAATTTTTAAAACAGATTCAACAATGGATGGATGATTAAGATTGGAAGGGGTCTTGATTATTTTAAGAAACCACAGGTAAAAATGCTTTGACCTCTTTAATTAACTTATACTGTAGAAGAACTCATTCTATGTTCACCCTGTCAATTCTGTTAATTTCTGCAGGGTCGTTTCAGCATTGGATACTGTGACTTTGACTTGCGACCTTGTCATGAAACAACAGTGGATGTCTTTCATACTAAACATACAAAGAAAATGTGATCAGATATGACTGCTTTCAATGAGTGTTTTTATAAGCATAAAAATGTAAGACTGGAAGATGCTGCTTGAATCCAGCTGTCCACCCTCAGAAGCAACTCTCCTAGGTACTTAGTCCAGCACAGCTTTTATAATCTATAGGTTTAAGAACATATGAGACACTTAGCACAACCGTACAATTCCTCCACTGTACTTCTCCCATAATCTTAATTAATACAATCCAGGTCTAAATTTGGTCTTGATTTCATAACGGACCGTCAACACTGTCTCTCAAAAGCCTCTTTACTGTCATTTCCATTTTCACTATTAATTTTTTCTTGAGCAGATTTTGTTTTCCATATCTTTAATTGACCACCTTACAAATGTTAGAAGCTGGGCTGCCACGTGTCCTCTTTTATAAGCAGCCTTATTTATTTCCTTGAATTCCCGTGTTCTAGTCATGACTACTATTGTGCTGTGGTTTGGTCAATCCCATAATACCCGAATTCACAGGCTTTGCTAGCAACCCCAAATCTAACATTCCATTATCCAAGCTCCTTGCATACAAGCACTGTAGTGTTCAATATACAGATGTTTTAGGGTTGTCTTATGTGTCTTTGCATGATGGATTTGGGGCTGGAAAGGATGCAAACAGCTGTATTCTTTCCCCTGTCTCTCCTATACATTCTTTTATTCTGTGATGTATGGTCATATACCTGATTTCCATCCTTTGCTTTAGGTGTGAAAAGGTGTACGATCCTCTCCCAATCTTTTCCCCTGAATTCCAAGTTTAATGTCCTTCCAGCTAGTTCTGCCCATCTGAACTGCAGTAAGCTATTTCCCTGCTGCTAAGATAGTCCCCTAAAAAATAATTAATTTTTAAATTCTTCTGGAAGTTGGATACCCTGAAACTTTCTTGTTAATAATGATTCTAACGAATATGCTAATTGGAAAAAAGACAAAATCTTTTCTTGTCTTCCCATCATCCTTTGGAAAGCACAAGGTATCACCTGAGCTGCTGCTCCTCCTTCTCCTAATACAAGAGTCCTTGATCATTGTCAGCAAGAATCAAGCAAAGTCATATATTCTGATATGAAGATCTGGCAGCGGCCTCATTTGCAGGTCCCATCAAAATCTTTTCTGCATCAGAACTGACAGGTGCCTTAACTTTTCTGCATCTTGTAATACAGTAATGCCTCCATCTTCTAGTAGCATGTTCATTATTAGAACTTTTTCTCTCTCCTATGTTCCTTTTTGCTGATGGCTGTTGTATTCCATTATCCTTTTTTCAATATTTGCTTTGTTCTTCTTTTGCCTTCTGTCATCTAATGCTGCTGTTCTTTTAGTTTTGCCTCTAACACAACAAATCTATTCCACAACTATCAGGAAGAAACAGAGCTTGTTCTCTGGGTCACAGTTTGCCAGTGGTCTACCTTCTTTATCCTTTTGCATAATAACATCTCAGCTTCTCAGTGCTACATCAGCAAAAAGAATAACGTATGTGCTTCAGAAGCTGCACGCTCCCCCCCCAAACATTCCATAGAATCTCCCTGTCTTGCTGCTGTGGTACTAGGTTTCTAGTCACTGTCATCGTTTTTATTCAGTTGTGTATAATATATGCCTATTTTTAATGGGAATAAAGGTTATTTTTTATTATTTGTAGTTTTAGTCATCTGTTTGAATTCTTCTCTGCACTACAAAGGATAATTGAAGGAAGCTGGGTAATGCCTTATAGATCAGCCATGTTTGGGAGAAGGTTCACTGTAAGTACAGTAAGCTTCCCAAATGTAAAGCTTTGTATCTTTTAACCTAGCCCAGCAATTTCAAGTGTACAGGGGCAAAATAAAAAGCCACCTTCAATATAAATAAATAAATATAAAAAAAATTTAATGCTTTCTGCATGTTGTAATACAATATGCCTCTCTGTTCTAGTAGTAAGCCCCTATGATACGGTCCTCTACAGATAACCACAAGAGGCAAGCACGGTCTTCCGTCTTGCCTGTTTGCTGCTAGAACTTTTTCTCTGTTTTCTAACTAGACTGTAGTTCGCCAGCTAAGACTGCAGATTTCCTTGTAGATCTCATGGATATGCAGTATCTGTACACATGTACAACTGAGTCTTCAGTGACATCCCAGTTGGCGCTGCACTGCAATCTTTACCTACAAGCCCTTAATCTCTGAGTAGTTCTTTTCACTGTCAGTAGGAAGACCAGGTATGAAGAGGAATGGGCATCAATGAATGGGAAAAGAAAACCCAACTTATCAGAGCAATCTAAGAATACAGTTCCACGATCGTTTTACTGACTCCAGGCCATGTTCTTCTGTGCTGCCACTGGCACTTAACATAGTCAGGTCATCACCAGGACTGTCCCTCCTGGCATCATCAGTGGAGATCAGCCTAAGCCACTTTCCCAGCTGGAGTCAGCTGGTGTCGTCCAGTCCTCCTGGCCGAGGGCTGGATTCACCCCCACTGACTGCTCTCCTTAGCTACAGGTAGGTTGCTTCTGGCGTGTGATTTGCTCCTACTGAGTGCTGGTCAACCGGCCATCTTTTAAAGAGGAGGGTGTGTAAGTAACATAGTAACACCTCATAGGCCTTTGCAGGCCTCACTTGTTAAGAAATACTTGCAGCTAACGGCCTTGTCTGCACACTTCAATTAGCAAAGGAGTGGAGTATTCATAAAAGGGTATACTGCCTAGGACTTCCCAAGTTGACTGTCTAAATCATCCTCATCTGAAGAATCTCAGTCACTGCTGTTACCACATCCTGCTTATTTGACAGTTTGGTGAAGGACAAATTGTATAACAAAGTATATAAATTCTGTAACTGCCTCACTTCAGCAGAGATCCTATCAACAGAGCCTGTCCCTGCTGCTGTGTGTTCTCTCCTATAGCAATAAACCGCTGCTGTTTTGACCTGATCAAAACTGCATTCCAGTTATGCCGTGACAGAATTTGGTGCTGTGACTTGGATTCACACATCCTGCTCCGCCTGGGAGGACCACAGACTGATCCCTGCCAAAACCTCCTTGGTGCCACTTTGACAGGTAAGGGACCTTTTGAAATCCCTACTGGAGCTTCAGCTGAGGGATTGTCTGCATGGACAACAAGGACTCTGAAAGCCAGAATGTCCTTACAGACCTAATCATAAGTCTTTTAAGTCCAGCAGGATTCAGTCACCCTCACTTTCCACCCAGCTTTTCCTTCATGCCACAGCCTCAGAAATGGGATTGGGACAGCCCCAAGGACAGAAACATCATTGCTCCTTTACTTTCTTTAGGCCAGACTGGTCCTTATTTATCTTACCCTATTAACAGCAAGATCGTTTCTTGCCTAATTGGTACTGGTATTTTTCAATCCACTTTATATGCCTCTGATTTTCCTGCAGTTCCCTTATCTTCAGAAATAGTAAACACTGTTGGTATTGCAGGACAACCCATACGTCACCTGTTAGCAAGCCCTTTGTCTGTAGCTATCCTCATTTCTGAATACTGTGCTTTCCTTTTAAGTCCTACCACGCCAGTTAACCTTCTGGGAAAAGACTAGTATGTAAACTGGGTTGTGCTATATACTGTGCCCTGAATGGAATTTACCTTGATGTGCTCACACCTCGACAGGGTGAATTTATGGCTTTTTTGCTTGAACCTCCCACTTAAAATTTAACTAACTACTATTCAAGGGTAGTTTGGTGAAGAAAGAGTTGTACAACATAAAGGTATGTAAACTCTGTAACTGCCTCATTTGGGCAGAGGTCACATCAGTGGAGTCTGTCACTGCTGTGCTGAGTCGTCTCCTACATCTCTAGCAATAAACTGCTTCTGTTCTGACCTGACCAAAATTGCATTCTGCTTATTTGGCCACAACAGTGAATCATAGACTCATTTGTTTGGAAAAGACCTTTAAGATCATCAAGTCCAACCATACCTGTCCACCACTAAATGATGTCCCTAAGCACCACATATCACAGCTATTAAGCACCTCCAAGGATGGGGACTCAACCACTTCCCTGGGCAGCCCATTCCAGTGCCTGGTAACCCTTTCAGTGAAGAAGTTTTTCCTAATACTGAATCTAAACCTCTCCTGGCACAACTTGAGGCTATTTCCTCTTGTCCTATCACTTGTTGCTTGGGAGAAGAGATTGACACCCACCTGGCTACAGCCTCCTGTCAGGCAGTTGTAGAGGGTGATAAGGTCTCCCCTCAGCCTCCTCTTCTCCAGACTAAACAACCCCAGTTCCCTCAGCAGCTCCTCATCAGACTTGTGCTCCAGACCCCTCACCAGCTTCGTTGCCCTTCTCTGGACATACTCCAGCAACTCAACGTCCTTCTCATAGTGAGGGGCCCAGAACTGAACACAGTATTTGAGGTGTGGCCTCACCCATGCTGAGTACAGGGGCACAACCACTTCCCTGCTCCTGCTGGCTGCACTATTCCTGATATAAGCCAGGATGCTGTTGGCCTTCTTGGCCACCTGGGCACACTGCTGGCTCATACTCAGTCGACTGTGAACCAGTACACCCTGATCCCTCTCTGCTGGGCAGCTCTCCAGCCACTCTTCCCCAAGCCTGTAGCATTGCTTGGGGTTGTTGTGACCCAAGTGCAGGACCCGGCATTTGACCTTATTTGAACCTCATACAATTGGCCACAGACCATTGATCCAGCCTGCCCAGGTCCCTCTGTAGAGCCTTCCTGCCCTCGAGCAGATCAACACTCCCATACAGCTTAGTGTCATCTGTGAACTTGCTGAGGGTGCACTCAAGAAAGATGTGAAATACATCTTGAACCTTTCTTTCATAATGTTATTTTACATTGAGCTGTTATTTGTATTTAACATGAAAACTGTAATTTTCAGTTCACTGTTGCCTTTCACAAGCAATTTTTCTCCTAGGCAGTACCATAAGGAACCTGTTTCTCCTAGGTCTGTTATCTGCAAGTGTATTTCCTAATGTAGAAGAACTAGTCCCACTTTCTGCTTAGATACCAGTACTTGTGGCCACCACAACTCCCAGCTTTGTGCCAGGCAGCGCAGGTACGAAGGAGGCACGTTAGCCTCTCCTGCCCTCATTAATGTAAAACCCCACGCTGAACTTCCTAATCCTTCCCCGCCTTTTGCACATGCATGGACGAAAGCCCTAATGCAGGATGGAACTCCTGGACTGATGCAGTATGCAGCATTGAGCTTAGCTTAGTACTGTGCTTGTAGGGAGGGAGAGGGTTGCCAGCAATCCCTAAGGACTTTCAGCTGGAAACCAGGGGGACATCCCTCTCCACACAGCTCAGGGGCTGAGACTTGGCCTTTGAGCTACTATCTGCAAGGGGGGGGATGCAGGCTGGGGGATCCGGTGCAGCAGCACAGCAGCAGCTTTCCATCTACCCCATCCCACCTGTGTCAGCCATTTGCACCTTCTCTGCTACAGAGCCAGTTTGGGATGCTGCCACCACCATTCTCCCCAGTGTAAGCAGCGATGGTGTCTGTCAGCATGGAGTGATACAGGTGATAAAGGAAAGAGTTAATTTTGCTTTTGCTTAAGTTTCATTAATCATTTTGTGTATATTGTATTAAGATTTTGACTTTCGAATGCAACTAAGATGCAGGCGTGCAGCCAAGGAACTCAACAGACCACAGTCAACTGCTCACTATGTTCCTTGTATAGCTCCCCTCCATGCTTGGACTAATCACCAGCCGAGTTAATCAGTGAATAAAGATAGATGAAGGCAAGACTTTAAGACAATCAGAAAAGTTGGTCTTAAACCAAGATGTAGACAGAATAATTAGAGCAGGCCCAGACGAATAGAGGATAGGTTAGAGGTTGAGTTTTTATGCTTTTGCCTTGCATTCACAGTGGCTGCCAAGAGAAGACTTTATGGACTTCGTGTTCGAGAAGCAGAACTGAGATAGAAGGATACAAGTATGCTAACCTGTGGGAAACAATGGACTTTCAGCTGGTCAGACAAATGAGGAATTGTGAACATCATGGAAAACTCTTTATGCAATTATTATAGAAAGTTATAAAAAAATAATATGCCTGTGAATTGTGACAGGACTGAGAAGGAATGTACCGGCAGAGGAACTGAGAACTTTCTACTGACGAAGAAGAATAGAGGAATTGAGAATGCAGTGGAGACTTACCGTAGACTTTGTCTATTATGTAATCATGTTGAAAAGGTATATAAGGTGTAAGGTGTATTTTTTACATTGCCACTCACTGAGGTGATGGCCTAACTCTGAGTTGTGAATAAATGCAAACTTAGAATAACCCGGAGACTCGTGAAATTCTTTAACACAGGGCTGCAGCCCATTACAGCGGCTTACATCCTACAGTTTGGGAACCTCGGGTGCAGGCAGCACGAAATCTAACTGCTAGTAGGCAATATTAAGCAAAGCACAAGATCAAACAGCTTTAATGACTCATGAACGAGAAAAATCCATCTTGTAGAAATTAATGTTTTAATTTTGTTTTCAATAAATTAAAAAGCAGCAGAAATTTAGCTTACACTTTCAAAATGAAGTCACATTAACATTATCACATTCTCACACAGCAGGTTCCACCTGCTGTGCAACTCCTCATCCTGGGGACACACTCTTAGCAATGTTGCTGCTAGTGTAGTGGTTTCATCTGGGCAAAACTTACTGCCAGTGAGGCTCTTCACCAGTTCACTGCACAGTGCTGGTGGCAGCCACTGCTCCGGCAGATAAATCTTACAGACTTCGATCCTTCCATGCTTTACATCCATATCTACTTTAACGTCAAGAACAGACTCCTTGTAGACCATGCTAAAACAAGTGCTAACGCTGAACTTTGGCGTCTTTCCATACACCCATTCCCAGGTTTGCAGTTCTTTAGTTTTATTACGAATTCCAGGAAGCACAGTCTCATCAGCTGGATTTATTAAGGTGATATGATGATCTATTTGGTGCTGCGTAGCATATTCTTCAGCAATGGCATCCAGGAGCATCTCACAAGTTAAACTAGGGTCCTCTTCAAAGAGATTTTTCACTGAGGCAGGCACGCTAGGAGTGGCATTGCTTTTTAGCCCTTTGTAAGGACTCTTTAGTACGGAAGACAAAACAAACTTATCCGCGTTACAGAGTAAGGTACAGTGGTGATAAGCAGTTGTCCTTCCCAGCTTTGCAGCAGTACCCGAGATTTTGTATCGCCTGTCTAGCAAGATGTCATATCTGTCACTGACGTGTACATCTAACTGGGGGCGCAAGGCTTTGAGTGCCTTAACAACTAGTTTCAGGTTTTCCATTCGTTCATATTTTTTTCTGGTTGTAAAGAAAGTCAAATTGATATTGCCTAAGTCATGGTAAACTGTCCCTCCTCCGCTTCTTCTCCTGGCTAGTTTTATATTTTTTTGCCTCATTAGCCTGAGGTTGCACTCCTGCCAGGGATTCTGATGTCTCCCTATTACCACAGCGGGGGAATTTCTCCAAAGGAAAAGGACCCGTCGGTTCTCTAAATTCATGTGGTCATGGATCCAGTCTTCCACAGCTAGATTTTGGTAAACATCATTAGAAGTAGACTGGATAATGAGGCCGCCACTCGTTGTGCTTCTGAAGCCAGCTTTTGGAGTCCTGAGGATGCAGGATAGCCGAAGGCAGTTCTTTAATAGCGGCTGGAGTACCATGTTTTCAATAACTGGACAGCAGATGGAAGGAATGCGTCATCTGGTAAAGCTGAATGCGGCAAGTGCACGACCTGCTCTCGTGACAGAAACGAAATGCTAGTGGCAGTCACGATGCACTCATGCTCTTCCCGAGGCGGCGATGCTCCTAAACTGATGAGAGTTACGCGGGGTTTCTCCTCCTGACGCTAGGGATGCCGTCCAAACCCTGGCGCGCCATTAACATAGAAACTGGCGCTGTCAGAGTAGCTTCTCCTCCCCAGTCCTTGGTGCCTAAAAGGCCAAAGGAAGAAACAGAATTAAACCGTGTGTTCCCCCTCGCTCAGTACAGCCTTGCTAATACGATTTTGTGTATTTTGAATTGCAGCAGTCCACTTTGATTAGGGTTATGGGGTTTTTTTTCCACTGATCCGGTAAGAAAAAACAGTTCACGAGCTTGCCGGGTCAGCGAGGAGCCCGCCAGGCGCAGGGCTGGCTGCCACGGAGCCTGCAGCGCCCCGCGGAG